AGTAACCCTCATGCTCCTCGTCAGTCTAATCAGGCTTCTCAAATGCAATGCAGAATTAATGGTTAAATTCCAGTCTGCTAAACATTCCTGTGAAACAGGGGCAGCTTTGCTTGGGGTTCAGAAAGGTTTTAGAGCAAATGCAAGAACGGAGTACGGACAGTCACATAAGCCCAGAGTCCGTTTGCTCCACGCTTGTGTCAAAACGTGATGAGCAGCAAACTTCTTCATCTAAGAGCCAAAAGCTGCATCGAAAACCTATTGCTTTGAATTAAATGAGACAACCTTCTACAAGGACACTGCCTTTCACTAAAGACTGACATGATTGAGAAGCTTACTATCAAAGACTTAAATTCAGCTTTTGTAGAAACAGATCAGAAAAACAGATACATCAAATATTAGCTGTATTAAGCAGCTATTGTATGGCAGTGATGTTAATCAGTCCTCAAAGGCAGTATTTTCTGAACAAAGTTCACCGGTCAGAATGCCTATATTCAATTTTACAGTCTTGTCTCCTGAGAGCAAGAAACAGTCTCTATCTGATAGAGATTTACTTTGGCCAGAGCAGTACTCTACACCTGTGAATCTTGGGAGTCTCAGCAAGTGTAAACTGTCAGGAAATTGCATGAGGAAGAAATAATACTCTGAAGTCTTCTTCATATTAATTCTGATAATGATAATGAAACCTCTCTCTCTGATGCCACTTTATTCCAACATCTGATAAATGTCATCTTTCAAATATTCAGGGCTTAAATTTTCAGCCTTCTTGTTTAGCTTGGCTAATTTAAATGTTAGCTATACTCAGAAGAATACAAGTAGCAGACTAGGCCTCGACAAGCAAACAGTGGTTTTCTGGCTTGAGTTCTTTCATTTCTACCCAGATCTTCTGGAAAATCAATCCCTTTAAAATACCTTAAGTTCAATTCCTCAGAATAGAAGCACTGAAGATTTTAAAACCTTTATCTACCTCTCCAGTGTCTAAAGACGCAGTGATGGGCAAATCTGCATTTAACTAACAACGCAAATTTTAATGAGAGGACTTAATCCAAGTCAATATTTAGACTGGGGAAGTGCATCAGATTTAAGGCTAAGCAAATAACTAACAGAGAAAGCCTGAAATACTAAATCACAGCCTGTCACTACTGCAAGGTTTCATTTCCAGACTCGTTTCTAACTGCTGAGGTACCACTGCTGGTGGTACTTCAAGAAAATGTAAATCAGTTACATGAATCACATTGTTTTTCAAACACTGTCAGATAAAAATCATATGTGTATGTAGGAATATTGTATACATACATTGAGTTGTCATCACTATCAAATTATATGAGCCTAAGCCTTAACACTACAGAAGCACTAAATAAATGTTTTATCTGTGTATTTTTTCCTCACCAAGAAATGTACATGTATTTGAAAATTTCATTTTAAACTTAGCAGTTTCCAGGTAAGCAAATGTATTCTGATGATGACAGTATCAAACTATTTCATGTCAAGTTTCACACACACATTATTTATATTATCTGCCACAGCCCTTCAGAAGTTCACTTTTCCTTTGCTATGCCAGTCTCTAGTTCACACTATGTAAATATTTGAAAAGCTGAAGCTGTATTTTTATGAGAAAGTTACTAACAAATTGGCTTGGTGCATGGCATGTTTGAGAACATTTACCTATTTACACAACTTCTTCAAGTATTAATTACATGATGAAATCAGAAATTATTTGCAAACACTGCTCAGCAAATAAACTCTTCTTTTCACAGAAGTAAATGTTAAAACCACATTCCGTAAGCTAAAATGAAAATACCCAAATATAACTGTCTTAGCAGAATCCAAAAAAGCTACAAAAATTACAAAGCACACAGAAGCAGAATTGCATTTGTCATATCTTTCAGACTAACCAACAGCATACTCTTCCACAAAAAGAGATACTTCCTAATAACATTTATTAAAGTAATTGTTATGGTATGACTCAACTTTTCTAAAGAGAGGAAGTGCAATCATGACCTTCTTGGGAGTTTTGCCATTAATGAAGGAAAAGATGAAATTCTGGGTTTACCTTTCACAAACAATGCAGGCATTGTTTTGTTAACGTATTTGGGACACTTATAGGTCACTGTGTGAAAGTTCCCCCGGAAACATCAGTTGTTTTCATTGATCTCACAGGCTACTCAAAAACCACGGATTTCCATCAAAGTGATTATTCAAATAGAGGTGCAAAATAAGAACACTGTTAATTTTATCAGTTTTCACCGGCCATGAAAATGATGCTAGTTCACATTTCCCACTAGTTCAACACGAGCAATATTCTGATTGCATAGAATCCATTCATGTCGTGTATTTAAAAGTTGTTTGCTTTAGCTATCTTCACCTACCTTGTCATAAACAATCTACATACTACTCATTACAGGCACAATTAGTCCTTTCAAATGAAGTATTAGACCTTCAGAACTTCACAGCTGCCTTTTGAATGCACTAGCACAAACATGCTTGCCATGCCAAATCAAAATGTATTTGTTTCAGCATGGAAGCTTAAGATGTATGCTTGAATTCTGATTAAACTCTTAAAAGTTTACAATCTTGTAACTGAGCTTAATAAATCACATTCAAGAGTTTTGAGAATTGTTTTTTAAGACAGGTAAAACTGCACCAGTTGTTATTTTGGTAATGAAGACCTTACATGACTTGTATCACTCAGACACTCAGATTTTTGTATCCCAATTAAAATATACATAATTCTGATGGGAAAAAACCCACCAACCTATCTTCAGATCTAGTTCTATTCTCACCACACAAGCAGTTGTGTCCTGTTCTCACTTTAGGACCCAGTACCCAGAGAACAACATGTATGATCTTACCAAGCTGCCATCAACTAGCACTGGCAACTCCTTTTAGCCAGATTTTACCTGAGGACAGAAGCTTGTGAGTGCGTAGGAAACTGATTGCCAGGCGCATTATGGATGCCTTGTCCAGGTGGGAACTGATGTTGTGGGGCAGGGGCAGCTCATGTGCCAGTTCATAGAAAACTTCAGTCTCTTTGCTTCTCCTGCATCTCGCTGCATCTCTTGATTTCTCCTTCCTCCGTTCTGAACTGCTCCTAGTAGGTTAAGGAGAAAAAGGAAAAAGCATTTCTTGAAGTGCAATTCACAGCCTGAGAGAGGCATTTACAGGAGTAAATCTCAGCAATTAATCCATTCTGTCAACTGTTTAAATCAATTGACCAGACATTAATATCTAATCGCTTCCTTTAAAATGGGAATCGGGAGAGGACTGCCATGACTGGAAAGGGCTCTGTTCTACAGAAGTCAGCCTTTGGACGCACTGAATCCCCGTTGAGTGTAACAGGATCAAGATCTGCCTTAGGCGAGAGATTCAAAAAGAAACAGCAAACTATTATTCCTGGGATTCCATAAATGTTACAAATAAAAATTTCATTTGTTTGATCTAAATTAATTTACTTGAAAAATACTCTCGGATGAGATGACAATCCATTTTGAAGCTGGAACAATTACAGTGCATGTGGCTGTGTCATAGATATAGTGATATGCAATGGCTGTTCCCCATATTAAAATAAAAGTAGTAACTGTGTTTGCATATACAACTGTCTCAGCTCTTAACCCGACGTTACTCTGGAAAACCAGCTTTGACCACGAAGGATACAAAATGGGAAAGAAAATACTGTTGCATGCAAGGAACCCCTCCTTCGTAGAAGCTATTCAAATTAAATCATAATCTCTCTGTTGTCTATGAAAACAGATTCCTTCTTGAGTAAAATAACATGACTGATACAGCCAGCCTCCTTCAAACTCCACAGAGAACACAGGAGCAGGAAATATCAGAGAAGACATTTTATGGAGCAGGTATGCAAAATTAAGCCACTGAGGGCCATAAAGGTAAATTTAACATGCAAGAAACACAAGGGCTATATTTATAATGGATCTAGGACAGGACAGTTTAAGAGGGAGCTTCACTGAGTCCAAGGTTCTTTTATAAAGTACAATTCTTATTTCAGAACATGAAGAATCTGAATCCATTCAAAACCATCAGCTATTTCAACCCCATGTAGCTCTGCTGATACTACAAGTTTCCTTCACTTGCAGAAGTTGAGGTTTTGCACCTTAGTCACATCAACACAGAATATATTTCGGTTCAGGCAAACTCCTGTAATACTGTTCCAGTGCAAACAGCAAAGCTTGGATGAACGCAGAACAGGGTGTGGAGAAGACCAGCCCCACTGTTTCGCTGTTGTGGCTGCACACTCATTTCTGGAACCACCAGTGGCAGCTCTCCGTTTGCAAGGCCACCTAAAAATGAAGCATCATTTAACCTGCTTTTTCCAACATCAGTATAAAATAAGGAGTCTATAAACGAAAAATTTATCAAGAACAACAAAAAAATCAAATTAGGATATTTCAATAAAAATATCCTCTTGTGAGAAGATGATGAGGAAATTTGTTACAAATACTAATCGCATCACTTAATCCCAGAAACTGCTCCAATCATGGCTGGTCTCATATAAAACCGCATAAAAGAGAAAAAAAAGTATTAATACATAGTAATGTATGCTAAAGAAGACAACTATTTCTAGAAGAGCTAGACTATCTGCAAAAGCCTCTAGTAGGTGGCTTTGTAAATTAGAAAGAAGGAAAAATAGCCAGGGTGAGTGTTAAATGCTAAGAGCAAAGTTACAGTAAAGTGTTTGCTGAGGCCCAGGCAAGGCTGGGCACTCAACATCATCATCCAAAGCAGAATAGTGCTCACAGCACATCAGTAGGGTCCTCGTGCTCCAAAACACGTGAAGCAGGGCATGTGCTTAGGGATCAGATAGGTGCTCACCAATGGGTGTGCTAACAGGGCAAGGGGCCTCATAAATGCTCACGGTATCTTCTCAAGATCCATGATCAGCCCTCAGCCAACCTCTTTCACAATTATTTTGCCTGAGGTGAATATTTTCTAACATGGCATCTGTTACAGGAGGCACGCATGGGAGGAGACCCACACACATTTCAGTGCATAATGGCAGGATCCAACTTTGATAATGACTTCAGGGCACTGCTGGAGCGAACACTGACCCACCCAAGTTTGAATCTAAAGTTTGATCAGATATTCACAAGGTGACACTAACTCCTTACTTTTATCCTTGCCGAGTAGGAGTCATACTATAACCACGTAAAAAAAAAGTCCCTTCGTACAGCTGGCAGAGAAGGTACAACCAGGGCAGGTGCCGGGAACAGGAGAGCCATGTGAGCTAATTACACCGATGCTTCTTTCAGAGGTACATCTTGCTCTCTAATGAAAAATGTGTCTACACTGTGCCTATAAAGATGCCAGACTGGAAACAAATCTTCTCAGTTTCTAATTCCACCAACAAAATAAAAGAGTTGAAACAAAACAAAACCAAACAGAACAAAAACTATGTGGCAATATTTGCGAGAATTTCCAATTGCAGCTTAGAAAATTTTACTTGAACCATAAAAGCTCAAGCTCTGCTCTAAATCTAGAGGCCACAATTTTCACATTAGAACCAACTTGGGCAAAACAAGATCCAGTTCCTCCTCATTTATATATGAAAATTTGGGAACCAAGGCCAAAGTCATGTCGCAATTCGTGCAGTCAAAATGGGTTGTATAAGACAGGGTCTCTCACGACGCCACTCCAGCCACAAAGAAAAATATTTAGTTTTGCTAACCTCTGTAAATATAATTTTGAAGTGTGGCTAATGAGACAAGCTGGTTTCGTTAACCATGGGTTGCTCAAGGTTTCTAATAACTAATGTTATGAGCAGAGCATGACTTCCCCCCCCACCCCCCACCCTGTGCTTTCCTTAGATGCTTTCCTTAACACTGCTGCTGACTGTCGTGCTGGTTTCTCTGCAGAGAGACATCATCGTTCATTACACACCACATGAGAGCTTTCTCACATCAGAAAACAAGGGGAGGAATCAGCCTGCCTGGCTGCTTTCAACAGACTTTCTTGCTCACCTATTACCATTTTAAATAAACAAACAATGTGCTTGTTAAGCATTTCCCCCTGTAGCTTTCTGCACCCCAATTTTCCTCCCCTTTTTCCCTCACTCAGCACACCCTCACGCTGTGTTCTCATTGTGGCCAGCCCAGGACAAGCCCACAGAGGCCCAAAACACCCCCATGCCGCTTGCCCCAACACGGCTTCCCCCTGCAGACAGACATCCACACTTGCTTGCTGTCCCCCCCCAGGGACACCTGTGTCAAAGATGGTCATTCTGTGCTTACTTGTCCTGGTTGCAAAAGCCTCCAACAACTGCAGTCAAGTGACAGAGTCCTGCAAAAAGCAGTATTTCCCTGGGTTTTGTGTGCAGGTGGCAGCCATCAGCTCTCTCTGCAGTTACCCCCATTTTATGCACAGGATTAGCATTTCACCCCCGGCGAGGCTGCACTACCCACAGCTCCAGAGTGACAACGTAACCACTCAACCACCTGCCCCCGTTTGAAGGCCAGGAAGAAAGGCTGACACTGAACCTAATGATTGCACATCATTAGAACAACAGTGAAAAGGCCCAGGCTCTAGCTAATTTATGAATCATTCCCTCACAGCACATAAAACCACCCACTTATGCAGCAAAAAAAGAGCACGTGTGTGCGTCATTGCTTGGAGAAAGCGATGCAAGCAGAAGCAGAAGCCTCCCTCAACCAAACCTGTGTCAGATTTTTAAAAATGCAGAGAAGAGACAGAGGAGAAAGCCACCGCAAATGAATCCACCATGCACCAGTGTGAGACCCGAGGTACCGCAGGGGAAGCCTCCTGGGAGCTCCCCAGCCCTCAATCCTCCAGGAGTCCCAGGATCCATCAGGATAAGGCCCCGCTCCGCCGCCACACGTGCACCCTCACACTGCAATCGCAGCGCGACCATTCCCTATAAAACAACGAGAAAGAAATGGAGACCCTGAAACCTCCACTAGAAACAGGGCGACTGAGCTGAGGAACAGGCCTGGGGACTCTACACAGAGGGTGGTCGGGAAGCTCGAGGAGAAGAAGGAAGAGGAAAGCGCCGCTTCCCAGCAAGGATTCTCCCAGGGCTGACGGACCACGCTCCCCGCGGGGCTGAAGCGCTCACAT